TTGTTTTTTTTTCTCTCACATATATGTATATATATATATATATATATATATATATATATACACACACTAAAACTCAATATTTAGCATTTTTGAAACACCAAATTTATTTATTATTTTTATTTTGTATTTAACTTAACTTTTATTCCTGAAAAAAGAAAAAGTAGTATAACGTGATTAATAGAAAAATGAAAAATAATAAAAGGAATGAAAAAAGAAAAAAAGAAAGAAAATACATAAATAAATAAAAGGGGGACAAAATTGAGTGTTTACTATATACTAATGCTTTTGATCTATGAAATTGTCCCTATTTGTGAATTTATTAGAGTTTGTGGGTTCCTTAAGGGAAAGCCCTATAGACAAAATACAAAACAAATTATTGGAGAAACAATTGTATCTAGTAATTACTTGTAAAAAATATGAACTAATTAGATTATAGATACCCCTTAATTATATGGATTTATAATAGTAATGGAACCCAAACTTGTAGTGAGTAAAATGTGAAGTATGTAAAATGTGACCTTACTAATACCATGTCGGGTACCATATTGGGCTTGCTAGGCATGAAAGCCCAAAATTCTCATGGCGTTGATGATGTCAGGCATGAGTTCAGTCACGTTGGACATGGGAGCTCTAGGGGACTTTCTATTGTGATTTCGTTAGGTGTGGAAAGAATCAATTCAAACATGATACTTCCAGAGGCCCGTGGCCTCACATCTCATCCTTCATAGCATCCAACCACTTTTGCTTGTCTTCACTCTCCATGGCCTCTCAAAAGCACTCATGTTCTCCCCCATCTATAAAGATCACATACGCATCAGAAGAGTACCTCATAGACAATTGTCTCTACCTAGTCGACCTCTTGAGTTGGGTTAGCGGTGGCTCAGTTGCATCACCAAGACTTTCATCATGTGACCTCTCATGTTCTTTTTCATCAAAATCATTAATAGGAATATCTACCTCATCTCCAAATCGTTGTTCACCAACATAGTTATGTTGCTCACCATTTTGAACATCAATATCCAGATTATGAATAAGCAACTGAACTGGATCAACATCAGTCATGCCACTATCTCCCTTAGGTGTAAACTTCTCCACCTTATCAATGTCTTAAATGGTTTAATCTTCCATGAATTTCACATCATGGCTTCTAATAAGCTTCTTCTCAATAGGATCATAGAATTTGCAACCAAATTCATCCTCACCATAACAAATGAAGATACATTGTCTTGTCTTTGTATCCAATTTGGATCTCTCATCCTTTGGAACAAGCACAAACTCCTTGCAACTAAAAACTCTCAAGTGATCATACTTGACATTCTTGCCAAACCAAATTTTATTTGGCACCTCACTATTCAAAGCAATAGCAAGACTAAGATTGATAACATGCACCACCGTTTACAATGTTTCACCCCAAAATCGCTTAGGTAACTTAGCCTCAAATAGCATACACCTCACTCTCTCAATCAATGTCTTGTTCATCCTCTCTACTAAACCATTCAACTAAGGACTTTTCTCATGTGAAATATCATGTTGCCTACAGTAGACTACAAATGTGCTTCAACTTCTTTTTTGACTACCTCTCAACCAAGGCATAAAACTATTCAAACTTCTCTAGCACTTGGACTTTTGTCTTCAAAGCATAGACCTATAGTTTCCTAGAACAATCATCAATAAAGGTAACAAAATAAAGTGCACCACCAAAATTCTTTACCTTCAAAGGACCTCAAACATCTGAATGCACCAATTCAAGCTAGAAGAAGGATGTTTCTTGAAGGATACTATAGTTTTCTTACCAACCATGCAATGAGAACATTTCTCTAACTTTGCATTCATCAATACCTGAAGCATATCCTTTTTGACTAAATCATTTAGTCCTTTTTCTCACTGATATGACAAAGCCTTCGATGCCACAAAGATGCCTCCATATACATATAATTCACACTATCTTTAGCAACCAATGTTTTTGTCCAATAAAGTTTAGAATTTCTCCCCTTTTTAGCCACGATCAAGTTACCTTTGGTAAGTTTCCACTTTCCAAAACCAAAGTGATTATCATAACCACCATCATCAAGCACCTACACAGAAACCAAATTAAAATGGACATTTGGAGCATGCTTAACTCCTCTAAGCAACAACTACATCCCATGTTGGTTTATAATATGTCATCATTACCCATCTTTAATACTCCAAAATTGCCAACAATGTAAGTTGTGAAGAACTCCTTCTTGGTTGTAACATATAGTGTAACACCACTATTTATTATCCACATGCCCCTCATCGGATACAAGATTAATTGCATCAACATCACGGAGAAGAACAAGATCATCACTAGTAGCAGTAGTAACATGATCACTATCATTATGATTTATCTATTTTTGCTTTCACTTATTCTCTTATTCTCCTTCTTCCACATAAAACAATTCCTTTGTATATGTATTATTTTGTGATAAAAGTGACACTCCACATTTTTGTACTAAAACTTAGACTTGTTCTTGTTTTTGTCTCTACCACCCTTCTGTTCTCTCTTCTGGTTTCTCCCTATGTTCTCAATAACAATCACCTCTAAATGAGATTAACTACCTTGTGTCTTCATTATCATCTCCTCATTAAGCGCACCACTATTTTTCATTTGCAAAGAAACATTACCATTAGGAGAACACTAATCATGAAAACCCAGAATGTCTCCCATGAATTAGGAAAGAAAATTTAATAGAAATAATCCCAATAAATCTTCATTAAATTTTATACCCATTGAGAGGGAACAATCCGTCACTAAATTTTTTCATTTTAGTCACGAAATTTGTGACGGATATTTTAGAGACGAACTTCATTCCGTCACAAAATCCGTCACAAACATTTTTTTTATTTAGCGATGAAATTTGTGACGAATTTTTAGAGATTCCGTCACAAAATCCGTCACAAATTTTTTTTTTTTGATTCAGTGACGAAATTTGTGACGGATTTTTAGAGACGGAATATATTCCGTCACAAAATCCGTCACAAAAGTCAATAAATTCTAGTCCGTCACAAAACTTAAAATTCCCTCACAAAATGCGTCACTATTAGCGATGCTATTTTTTCCGTCACAAAATTCGTCACAAATATTAATTTTTCTAGTAGTGAGATACCTACAAGGCACGAAGGAGTTTGGTATTTGTTACAAAACAATGACCAACTCAAGTTTGCTCGGATACACCGACAGTGATTGGGTAGGATCGGTAGATGACATGAAAAGCACCTCTGGTTATGCTTTCTCACTCGGATCAGGAATATTTTCTTGGGCATCAAAAAAGCAAGCAACAGTTGCATAATCAACCGTAGAAGCAGAATATGTTGCAGCTGCTGAAGCTACAAGTCAAGCAATTTGACTACGAAGAATACTTGCAGAAATGGGAGAACAACAAGATGGACCTACTACAATCTACTGCAACAATAAATCAACAATCGCAATGACAAAAAATCTAGTACATCACAACAGGACAAAACACATTGCAATTAAATATCACTTCATCAGAGAAGCAGAAACAACTAGAGAAATCAAGATGGAGTATTGCAAGACCGAAGAGCAAGTTGCTGACATATTCACAAAGGCACTGCCGAGAGCAAGATTCGAACAGTTTCGCACTATGATAGGAGTTAGAGAAATTTGTATCAAGGAGGAGTGTTAAAATATGATACAAACTTCTAAAATAATCTAGATTCTTATAGAAAAATATATAGGTATGCTAGTAATTACTAGATACAAATTCTAGAATCATGTAGATAATTATATATATAGATAGAAAACTCTAGAAATAGATATCTCTAGAGTTTTCTACATAAAACATGAATGATGTCTTGAGGCCTATAAATAGGCCATGTGCTCAACATTTGTACCAAGCAATTAGTAAACCATTTCCACTACTCAAATCTATTCTAACTATTCCTCTAAACTAGTTTTCCTCTCAACTAAGCCTATCATTATAAATTTGTCTCCCCATTCTTTCTACTAATCAAATAAGCTTTTATTATTTGATAATTCATAAACTAACAGAAGTTGCTTAACAAACAGTTCACGATTCCTTTTGATTAGTAATCCAGTAATCCAGCCCAATGTTTGGTGACACTAAAAGATTGATCGAACGGTGGCTTCGCAACAATAGAAGGACAAGAATACCAACTCATGCAGTTAGAAAAAGTGGAGGATAACAAGTAGGAAAAGAGCATCAGATAAGGTGGTGGGTGGTCAAGGGGCTCAATTGAGGACGGGGTTTGGGATTGAAACGATGTTCAAATGGATATGGTGTCACAAAATCGAAGCCATAGAGTGAAAGACAGGGTAAGACAGTGATAGGAGGCAGTGGCAGGAGGAGGTAAGGGGGTGATTGGAAGACGGTGGCGGGAGGTGGTTAACTGAAGACTCAAGGTCAAGAAATTGAATATGGAAAATGCAGCCAAGATGTTACATAAGGTCTTGCTGGATTGGTAAAATTTGGGATTATGAGTGAGGTGTGTGTTGAGAGGGTCACAATTATGGTAGAGTTAGATGTGTAGTGTGTAACTTGGGGGGGGGGGGGGTGGGGAGTGTCGGAGGTGTGAGTTTGTGGGGAGGGGTGAGTACTAGTCATCTTTGGGTGGGTGGGTTAGAATGCTAGTGAGTGTGCTAATTGGTTTGGTGAGGTGGGTGAGGCGAGACGAAAATAGAGGGTAGTCTAATTGTTGTCAATCCGTCGCAATTAGGGACCTATAGGGTTTCGCAACATGGACTTTGTAAAGGTGCATTTGCCATATTATTGTTTTTTCATGGTTCGGTACTAGAGTATTAAACAACAGCAAAGGGTAGTGATGGTTTGTTTAAAAGGATTAACCAGGGATGCAATAACGGACTACAACAAAGTATTGACTATCCGAACAGTCTCCATCAATCTCCCTAGTTGCATTCAATACGAACAGTAGATGGTAAAGAGACTTGCTGGTGGACTGACATACTATTGGGCATTTTGTTTCAACAAGTTTGTAGGCATTGTAATAAAAAGGTGTTTTTTTTTTTGTTATGTGGTAATTTGGATCAAATGTTCTAAATTACAAATAACCATCTATTTGTAAATATGGGTTGTGGCATCCCTAGTGGCCTAGTGCCACTGTAATATATTTTACTGTTTAAAAAAAAATAATTAGGTGTCATAGATGCAACTGAGTCACAACTACAAGAAAATGTGTGAAGTGTGGAGTGCTTTGTACTACTGAGTCACAACTACAAGAAAATGTGTGAAGTGTGGAGTGCTTTGTACTATAGAGAACTTACACTCTTCTCCTTTTAACCCCCCATTCAGTGTCCTGGAAATTACTTTGGTCTGGTATGGAGTGGACAAACGTGTAGGGGTACTTCTATATGGAACTGGGGAATGGAGAGGAAAGTGCCTGAAATGATGGTTCATCACCAAAATATGATATTGTTCCTTGAGTTTAATGATCATGTAGTGTGAGAGTAAAATGCTTTACAGTTGACCAACCAAAAATTATTATTAATTTGATTTTTAAAATAATTATTATAAAACTCAATAAAGTCACCATACATGAAACTTTATAGATGAATGACATAATAAAATTGTTTTACATTAACTGTACATAGCCTTTTTCCCCATTCTCCTTCTAGACCTTGACTTAGGCCTACCAGTGTCCGCTTTCACTATTTTGGGCACCCATCAACACCGTTGTTGTTGTTGCAAGTGACAAGGTCAGGAGAAATTCATCTAACAAGCATTTCCGAATATAAAAGAGGAGCATGGGGTTATTACAAGTTTTTCTTTACATAGAGCATGAATGATAGTAACGTATATTACGTCATCACAAGTAACAAATTGCACCTCAATCTGTCTCATCAACATCATGGCAGCTCTTGTTTCTCCAATCTTGCATAACCCGTTGATCAGTGTCCTATAACTAATTTGATTGAACAGAAACCTTTCATGCTGTCGTGAAAGTGCAGTGCCTTCTTTACCTCACCACTTAGACAGAAACCATACATGAGTGATAACCCAATTTGTTAAAAAGGGAAATTGTAGTGGGGTAGTGTTTGATCT